GCTGTAGATCACTCCATCCTCACGAAGAGCGCGCCACAGGTTCCCACCCCACAAACACCACCCTGCTTGAGGCCCGGGCGCCCCCCTAGGCCCTGGAATCGTCATCCTTGAATCGGCCCCACCACACTCCTGACGGCCGCGCCTTTATGCCAAATCTCTAGTCAAACAGCTCCGATCCTCCCCACACCTTCTGACATCATCCTACCTGCCCCGTGCCATACGCCGGCACATCTTCCCCCCAACAGGAAGGCACAAAAACGGCCCACCCAAAGGAAGCCACACAGGGCCCCGCTCCCCTCCATCACACTTGGCCCGAACGACAGCACCACAAACGAATATACTCCCAGGTCCATGGTTCAACATCATTGCTACAACCAGGATGTTCCACGCCCAACGTCTCCCCAAGAATCGTCTTTGACCCAGGCTCGTGGGAATCCATCGCTCCCACACTCTCCCGCCTCCGCGTAATCCGTCCTCGCACCTCCAAAACACCGAAGTACCTTAACACGTACCACTTGGCCGCCATGTCAAACTTTGCCCCCTCTCGTCTATCCAACAGACGCGTATCCCAAAAACCACACCACTCCTCCTACGCGCATGACTTCACACAAGAGAGCCGGCACCCGTTGTCCAATCTCAAAAGCAACGATCGCCAGCACCCACCACGACCTACTTCGCCCCAGTCCCCCTACGCATCCTTTAAAAGCCTGCCCCATTCGGCGCTTTCTAACCGCCCCCCTCAAACCAGGTAGCGTCAGGTCAAATGGACGGCAAAACCCGCCCAACACTATTCCAGCACCTCTGTAGAATTACCACCATCGACTACGGCTTTGCAAAGGCGCCCCCCTCGCCCCGCACATACCAACCATACTACTAGCGCAATACCGCAACTTTAAAAAAACAACTCTCAGCCATATGGCTGACTCTATTCGCTGCCACTTCCTATAATCCCCTCAAAGCGCACGCTTGTGTTTCGACCAGGCTTTACACCGACAGATTTCCAACGAATTCCCCACCGCTCGCTGATCAAGCACTCCCCCGAGCTGCGACTCTCTGACACTCCCCAACATCCACCCCTCAAGCCACTATCCCGCACACCCTCACACATTACCTTTCCCATCACTCACACTCTTAGCTGGGATCTTCATTCACCACGCACCTTTTCCCTAGGAACACTCGCACACAACACCAAACCACCCCCACCCAACTCAATGCGCACCTACGCGCGCCAGACGTGTGTCCCCAAAAACATCCTCATCTGCCCTCATGACCACGTCGACAATTCTTCTTCTCTTCCTACTAGGTTTTTCTCTCATTTCCCCTCTCCTCTTCCCCGTCCATTGAGCAAGAGACTGCCATTTACTTCGCAGTTGCTGGCATCTATGCATGTAGATCGTCCATCAAGCCTAGAGTTCCATTTCATCTTGGTTCTTTTAATGTCCACACTAGGTCAGATCGACCAGTTGGCAACACTGACTCTCAGTCTTTACTCTCTTGGTATTGATGTGCTATGTGTCTCCGAAACATGCATACAAGCTAACAGCGTCCTGCCGTATCTTCGACTCCATGGTTCTGAATCTGACGACCATGGCGATACCGAGTCATTGGCTCAAGGCATTTACGTTGTTGGTATTGCCTTCAGCAAACATGCTCTAGGCAATCTGCTCGACTGGATACCGGTGAACTATTGCAAGTGCGCTGTTCGACTCCAAACTTCTATTTGAGTTAAAGAGCAGCGTCTAAAGCCAATGTGCCTTTTCACCGCCTCAGTTTATACCCCTACTGACGGCAGTTTGGAGGGTATCAAAGTCCCTCTCTGTCGACAACTCTCATCTCTTCTCCGTATGGCGAAGAATAGCGACATCGTAATTGTTGCTGGTGACTTGAATGCCCAATCTGGTCGTCTTTCATACACGGAACAACACCTGGGCGACCGCTTTGAAGTCCATGTACGCCGAACAGACAATGAGGATCAAATCCTGCAACTGTGCGCTGACCACAACCTTTACGTTTAACCAGCGCTGCATTCAAGCACAAACGTTCACACCGCGTCGTCCGGCGCCCACCGAATTCTACTATGTCCTGGACTCAAATTGACCATATTGCCATTAGCTACAAGTGGCGCACATCAGTTCTAGACTGTCGGTCGATTTAGAGCATGTGCCTAGATTTCGACCATGCTCTTGTGCACGTACGCTTGGCGCTTACTCTTCCTGCTTCAAAGAGGCGGCCATCTTCTAACCTACTTACGTCTAATTCGAACTCCCATTCTGCGGTTCAACAGTATCACGATTAATTTGCTCACCAATTGTCAGTGGTGAATTAGGTTGTTGAACTGAACGCTGACTGGGATCGTCTCAAGTGTGCCATGAAGATTGCCTTTTGACGCATGCCTGTGTATCCAACTTGAGGCGTCGTAACTGCGAATGAGTATCTGAGGCATCGATCAACTTGATCAAGGCATGGACAACAACTTCCAATGGGCACTGTTTTTCAGCGTGTCCGTAACTCTCTGAGACGACGCATCGCAATTAGTCATCGAATCGACCGGGAACGTTAGTGGATGGCGAGGGCCCGTGAGTTGGCGAAAGCCATCTGTTACCGAGACGGACAGCTTGATCCATTCTCAGCGTCGTCGGCTGGCCACTTGGACCGGAACATTTTGAAGGGCAGTTCAGAAGGCGTGCTGCGATATTACCGCTTGCCGAATCGCCTGAGTCATCGTGGACAGCAGATGTCACTCCTTTCGCTTTATTTTTGGGGAAAACAAGCAGATTCCAAGACTTGCATGACTTTCGTGCCTTGACCACGTTCCCAGTACCGCACACAAACAGGCCTCTCCTCCTGGAGCCCCCGACCCCCCTCCCTCGACCCCCCCACCCTCAATTCCCCCCCCACTGCCTCGGTCCCCACTCTGCCCCTAAACACAGCCAGCCCTTCGGCCCCCACGGCGCCTCCTCGCCAGGCCCCCTTTCTTTGTTGACTGGAAACGCTACTATTCTACTTTCAACAGCGGTTCCGGGCACACTGCGAAGAACAGCTGTCTTCAGCACCTGAGGCAATACTGCTCGGTGCCCATCGTCAAGAACGAGGTACCCCGCGTACTCTCTGTGAGGCACTAACCCAATCATTCCGAGCCAAAACCAATCAGCCTTAAGCACGATTACCAACATTCGCATCCTAAGCTCCTTCCATCTCAACACCGGTAGCACTTCCTCACGAACAACCCCCTACCTGCATCCCCCCGCTGAGAACCCGGTCTCTTACACTCGAACACGATACCAATGCCCAAGAGCCTAGCCTCCCAACTTCCCTCACCACTGAACTCGTGGCCTCCTCTGCTCCATACGCACCCCACTTCATTTCCTCATCGTTTACGCCCGTGCGTACTCCAGGGCAGCCGACCCACACACAGACACCGACTATGGCCCCTATATTCTACCCCCCCCCCCCACCCCTTGGGCCCTGTTTGGCGAAAGCTGCCTTACCCGCATCTCGCTACCGACGGCCAGGACTTGCGACACAGACTCGGACCCCACACCACCCCCAGTTACTATGCCATCTATTCACAGAACAGCCACTGGACCAGTACATGACCTCCATCTCACAACTTGCTAGCTGTCTGTCCACATCTTCTGGTGCATCACATCACTGAGACACTTACTTCGCGTGTCACAACTCATGAAAGCTACCCGTCATGGCGACTGCCTTCCAGAAACTCAACACCATAACACCCCGCCCATCGAAATCGAAGCACATGCGCCCCGGGAACTACCTCCCCACCCACTCCCCCCCACCACGATCCCATGCACAAACCCGACCACCCCCCGTCATATACTGCGGCGGCGAAGGCTCGGATGTTTGCTGTATGGATCCCAGAGACTCTGTGCTCACAGTTCGCCGACGAGAAATCAAACGCCTTAGCCTGTCTATACTACCGGGATCATTGGGAGCCTTAATTCGACCCTCACAAACTGTTGGCACGAACCCACCAGATGAGCAAATGCTTGGCTCGCCTCGCCCATTTGGTTTTTTGCGAGCAAGAAGCCCATCGGTGCCTCATCTCTCCTCCACGTCAGCCCCATCCCATCCCCCCTCCCAACACCTACCCCCCAACCCAACCCCCCCCCCACCCGCTGGCACCCCGCCCCCGACGCCCACCCACCCCCCCACACCCCCACCCCCCCCCCCACCCACAATACCCTCACCACTCCACAGCGGTCCGCTCTTCCACCCTGCGCAAATTTCACCCGCCGCTTTGCCCGTCTTGGCTAGTGCTCACTGTTCTCCCCGCCCATATGCTCCCACTCTGCACCCGACCTTCCTTCCGTCTTCGCATCCAACACTTATCACCACCCCCCCCTCAAGGCTGCACCAAAAGCATTGCTGGGGTAACCGTGCCCCGTCGCACATGCCACCCTACCCCCACTCCCCCAAATCGCCCGTCGACGCAATAGTGGTCCATCGGACGCCGAGTCCCCCCACAATTGACAAAGCCCACTTTCCGACCTCAGGCTGCATTAGCGTGCCGCCCGAGAGCCATTACCCCGATCGGGTTGGGGGCCTCAGAAACATCGGCCACACCCTGAATCGAAGACAATAGTCACGACATGGCGCACATCACGCAGTCAGTGTCCGAATCTCCTGCATTCCCACTATTTGCACTCTGGTGGTAACTTCCGACACTCACAGTCTGTGTTTGTAGTCTCCCCTCACCCATGGCAACCACCAACAACAACAAACCGCCCGGCCCCCTACCACCACCCCGCGCGCCCCACCATCCACCCCCGCGCCCCAACCCCCCCCCCAAGCACACCGAGCATGGCCACCCCCCACACCACAAAACAAACAACAACAAATCACCAACAAAAAAACAAACAACCATCCAGCGCCCGTCCCAAAAACAGCCACGCCGCACCAACGGCAACAACACGCACAAAACCTGCACACGCCGCCGGCCCAATCGGCCCATTACAAAAACGCCCCCCCTATCCACCCGATCACAGCCCCCGGCGGCCCATCCGGCCCCAAACACAAGCCCCCCCCCCGAAACAACAAACAAAAACAAAACCCCCCCCCCAAAACCCCCGCCCCGCGAACGGGCCGCACCCCACAACCAACCCCGCCGTTGGCCCCCCCTGACGATCCTCAATTCCACCACCCCCCCCCCTGCAACCCGCCGACGGCACGCGCACACGGCAAACACAGAGTACGAGATAAACACACAGACTCTGTGAGTCGGAAAAAAACAATTCCAAAAACAACTCAGAACAATGCAACAAAACGTGAATGCAAGCGAACGCCAGGCTCGCACTCCAGCCGTCTGACTGCGCCATGTTCTGCCTTGTCTTCCAATGCAATGGCTGTGCGCGACCATTCGGAGGCCCCCCCAACACCGCGAAGACCGGCACCGCCATCCAGCCATGAAATCCAACGCTTTGTCAATTCGCCTTTCACTGCCCAACTACCCAGTGCGCACGCCCACGCGCCGGGAGTGGCCCCATAGCTCTCCGCACGGCATCTCTCACACCCCCCCAACGTAGGTCCGCACATCACGGTCGTAATAATCAAACCCGTCACCCAGAAAACAGCGTGTCGGTCCCAACCCGAAGCATATGGCGAGAACATGCCACCTTCACACAACCGCACAAGACAGGCTCAAAATTCAGCTCAAAAAAACCCCCCCGACGGAGCGCACACAACCCAGCATGCGCTTCCTTATCTGCCCAAAAAACCCCAACCGGCAGACACTCAGCATGATGCCCTCAATCCCCGGTGCCATTCCCAAACACGAATGTGAGCAATACTCCCCCCGCCCCGCAATACTCCCCGTAAAGTCCCAAAATAACACTCACCACGGCTCAAGCACGTTCATAACCATTCTTCATTCGCAGCCGCGCCAGCGCCAACGCGAATACCTAGCGCCAGATCCTCCTGATCCATTTCAACACGAAACCAAAACACCAGCCTTAAATACCCCCGCACCCGCCGCAGTATCTCCCATCTTACCCCCTGGTCTTTCATGATAGCGATGACTCCTATCACAACCCCACCCGCCAACCGCGTCCTCCACGAGATTGGTCTCTGCGCAGCTTTCTCTGACGGAGCAAAAGCCATACCGGCGGACTGCTTGCTGACTCCACGCGCGAGAACGTCACAGTAAGCGTGCCAGTGTATCCTGCGTGCATCACCCCCCAACGAGGTGACACCAGCTCAGCAATCGTGAACTGGATCCATTACCTGCCCATCTCCCTCACGTGGCTGTTCTCTAGCCAGTGATACAGCTAATAACTGGTCGTCGTGAGGCTCCAGTCCTTGGCAAGCGCCCTCAAGCCGCCTCCTCGACTCCTGCCCTTAGAACCGAACCTTACTCCTCGCCGTCCGACAAAGAGTCGGCCATGCAGCTTCTCAAGCCACAGGAACAGGACGGGCCCACCTCAGCGCCGCGCGTCGGTCTCGCTCTGGTGTGTCGCTGCCCCTAACCAACCCCCCAACCCGCCCCCCCAACAACACAAACCCCCCAGACGAGACGAACCACATAAAACCCTAAGTCTGGTCGAGATAACACACACCCCCCCCCCCTCCCCCCACCCCCCCACCAGCCCCCCCACACCCCCCCCCCCCCGCCCCCTGGCCACCCCTCGCCACCACAGCGTGCAGGGCCGAGCAACACCACCGGACCTTCTCCCAGAGCTACAAACCCGGTCTTCATCGGCAACCGCAGGACGCCACCTTAGAACTTCGCTCTCCCGGAGTATGCTACAACCTCGCTGTCTGAGCCGCCCGCAAGAGCAATGGGAATGCAATGGAAACCACAGGACCCCCTTACCGCATGTCTCGATGACTACTTCTCTCACGTCCACAAAGTCACCTACTCCCGAACCGACCCCCCATCCTTGAAGATCGGCACGCCACCCAAGCGCTTTGACCCAGTACTCGCACAGACCCTTCTTCCGTGTCCCCCCGAACCCCCCCTGTCTTAAACAGCCACAGTCAAGCAACCCCGCGCTGTCCAGACTCGCAACACACAGGCCATACCACCAATCGTTCTCTCTCAGCCCCTAAAACTTCGCGCGTGAATAGTCTCGCCCCGAGGCCCCAGAAGCCTCTGTCACGTAACTCCAACCACGAAAGCCCTACATAATCCGATCCCTCTATTTCTCTCCAAAAGCCGACCAGGCAGCTGACACCATCTACAATCCCTTGCTTCCCCCACCGATGAACTCACAGCGCCCAAACCGCGATCGGCAAGCGGTAGCAGAGCAATCGCAGCACACCAGCAACCGCAGAACCAACACCCCAAATCCGCCCACCATCCTTCTACTGCAACAGGGCCCCTTCCATAAATGTTCTTCCGTCCCAAACAGTGCACCACTCCACGATCGACGCCCTGAGAATGCGATTCAGGACTGTCCGCTCTCGGTAAACCAGATCGGCTTTCGCTCCAGCCAAAACCTCACGCAAACGACGCCCCCCCTCAACCTTCGTCCCATCCACATAACTTCCCCCCCCCGGCATCGATTCTGATTGCACCTAATTTCCGATCCCGCGTCCGATCCCTCCAGAGAGCGCCTTACGTCCGACCACACCCGCCTGATACAACACACATGTGCCCATTGGCCCAGTTTGTTATCCCATGCCTTGATCAAGTTGAACACTCGATCGCCCAACCATTCCAGATCACTCATGGCCTCGCCATCTCCCGGCACGTGTAACCCGCGCCACCACGCCAACCACCTAAGTTATTGATGACCACCAGACATGCAGTTCAACAGGCACACACTCCTTCAACATCGCCATGGCCATCCACCTTGAGACGATCGCGCAGTACCAGCGCGTTCCACAGTTCAACAACCTCTACCATTGGTCACCACCTCGACCCCAACTTGTGCTCGCCCAGAAGCCAACACCAAACTTCAATACTCCGTGGATACACCCACTGTCTCCTGATAAACCCACCCCCACAGCAGAACACACTGGGACAAGACTTTCGACAACCTTAGATCGTAGTAGGTTAGAAGACTGGCCCGACCTCGTTTGAAGCAGCGAAGAGTACAACGCTCGCCAAGCCGTACGTGCACCCAAGAGACGCCATGGCGTCCCGCCAAAGCTAACGCCACCATCGCCTCCTAAAAATCCGACCCATGAACACGTCTCAGAACCACGACAACCATTGCGATCCCGCGTGCGCCCCCCACCCCACCCTTCGGCTAGCCAATACCATGCGCACCTTCCAATCCAGGTCCAATTCTTGACGTCCCACGGCAACCCACTACGTAGCAACATATCGCCGACCTGCGGCCGCCCCCGCTCACATACGCCACCCGGACCCGACAACGGCCCGGCGTGTGACACGTCTTCCCCGTCATGCCTTGACCCCCATGCCAAGCCAAAAGCCGCTGTTCCAACGTAAACGGCGTTCCTGGTCCAGACGCACAAGTGCTTGCAGGAAATCTTGACAACCTCTCCCCTACCCCTTGTCCTCGTTCTCACCCCCAGGCCTCTTCGCTCGCGACGATACAAAGACGACCCTTCAACCACAGCAAGGCTCACGCCCCCCACCTCCAAAGCACAAACGTGTCCTGATCCCTCCACCACCGCTGTATGACAAGACGACCAGACAATTTAGGGCTAACCCAAAACTCAAATGCTCCAACTTCACCACAGCAAAACACACAAACTTCAACGCCGTGTCTCCAGCTCTATATCCTCTCCCCATTCCGACCCCATCCACACCACCACACTCGCAGAAAGCCAGCACTCTGCAAAGCTTCCGTCCCGACAGAGGCACCGCTCAGTAGGGGTATGACAATCTGACGGCGGGTGAAAAGGCACTTGGGCTATTTAGACCCTGCTCTTAAAACTCAAATAAGAAGTTTGGAGTCGCAACAAGCGCACCTTGCCAAAGCGACATAAGTTCATACCGTATCAACAGTCGAGGCCAGATGGCCTAGACCGCCATGTTTTGCTGTAACGGCAAATCACCTCAACCATCGGAAAATTAAATGCACTTGAGCCAATGACTCCGGTATCGCCATGGTCGTCAGATTCAGAACCATGGAGTTCGAGAGATACGGCCAGGAACGCTGTTAGCTTCTGATATGGCATGTATTCGGAGCTAACCACAATAGCACATCAATACCACAGAGAGGATAAAGACTGCCAGACGTCAGTGTTGCCCACAACCTGGGTTCGATCAATGACCTAGTGTCGGCCACATTAAACAGACACCCCAAGGTGAAATTGGACACACTCTACAAGAGGCTCTCTGATGGACCGAATCCATACACATGCATAGATGCCCAGCACTGCGCATGTCTAAAATAACAATGGCAGAGGTCTCCATTGCCTCAACTGGGACCCTGGGGAAGCACCCACGGAGAGGTGGCAACATCTGAATCACGAGAAACACCCAGAGGAAGACACACGAAGAACTGCCTCCCCGCGAACGTGTGGCCCATCTGACGGGCACTGACTGACACTCCCGGCGCTCGCCCTCATCTTCTCACCCGCGACGGGCTTCTTTTCGTTCGACTATCACAAAAGCTCTAAACACTCCCCCACAAGGACTAGTGCACTGGAATATCGAGGGTCTAACTTTGAGGGCTACCAGCCGACGGCACCCATGCTTCACCAGTCCAGCAGCCCATCGCGGGAGGTGTGATTCGCAGCCTCGAGGACCCCTCCATCCTCGGACATCTGCGATCCTAAACAGCCTGCTACTCACAAAACAACACCACACCCTATTTTCTTGGCCGAGGATTCTAGAACCACATCGCACACCAAGCCATATAGATTTTCTCAACGACCACCCCCGCTCAGGCATCTTTACGACGCCGGCACGCCCCCATGCAATCCCAACGCCTCCAATTCCATCCAACACGTGGCCGGTCTGCGCAGCGTCTCACACTTTACCAGCCCCCCACGCTACCAACCTAACCAACCTGTTTGCAGGCGGGCGGCACTCCGCAAGCCCAAACTGCGAGGGCAGCCTAACAGAAGCGGACTAAATCCCATCTTTCGACCGCAAAACCCTGGCCTGGTCACTCACTCGGTGCCTCCCCTTAGAGCACAGCAATGGAGACACATGCGCCCCGCTGCCATTGGTAATCCATCCACCGTAGACCTTATCCAACTACACATCCCTCAATACTCCACAACACCCGCTCCTGAACACAGGCGCCAACCCCACCCGGCGCCCCAACCGCAGAAAGACCTGCGTGTTAGCGACGCCAAAAGCCCCCACCAACCTCCATCACGCGCCCGACGAGACTCGCTCAGGGCACATATCTTGCTCACTACCCCCACAACCAAAGCAACAGCGCCCCACCCAGAGGGGCCCCTGTCAAACGCTTGGAGCCGCTTGTGCGCGCTGACACCAACTTGCTTCCCAAATTTCAACAAACAACATCTACCCCTCGACGCTATAACTCGAGCGCGCCCGAGCGATTTCCCATCTCCTCGTTCCTCCCCGCGGGCATTGAGACCCCGCGCGAGCCACCCCTTGCTCCCCACCTCCTTCGCGGGCGTGCCGGGGCCGCTACCAGCGGCCCAACGATCACTCTCCTCCCCTCGGATCCGCCCCTCACATCACACACATCGGCCGCACGCAGAAGTCGAATGCCTACGAGACATCAAGAGCGTTGAACTACTGCATACGCCCACCGCCATAGGCAGCAATCACCGAGAATTACGTTTCTCCTCGGCAGCAGGGCCCTCCTCCCAACAATTTCCGGACCGATCGCGAATCCCGCGCTACACCGTGAGCATTTGACATCGCCTACACCCGCACCCCCCAGCCACCAAAGCCCCACCCCCCACGCCCCCACCCTCGACCCCCACCCCCCCCCCCCCCCCCACCACTTATGTCACGGGAGGCCCCGGAGCTTCCGGGAGACGACGTCGGCGCAATACCCATGCGCCGCACCCACTCCCCACCCACCCTCAACCCCCCCCGCACCCCTCCCCCCACCCCCCCCCCCCCCCCCCCCCCCCCCCCCCCCCCCCCCCTCCACCCCCCCCCCTCCCCCCCCGCCCCCACCCCCCCCCCCCCCCCCCCCCCCCCCCCCCCCCCCCACCCCCCCCCCCCCCCCCCCCGCCGCACCCCCCCCCCCCCGCCCCCCCCCCCCCCCCCCCCCCCCCCCCCCCCCCCCCCCCCCCCCCCCCCCCCGGCCCCCCCCCCCCCCCCCCCCCCCCCCCCTCCCCCCCCCCACCCCCCCCACCCCCCCCCCACGCCCCCCCCCCCCCCCCCCCCCCCCCCCCCCCCCACCCCCCCCCCCCCCCCCCCCCCCCCCCCCCCCCCCCCCCCCCCCCCCCCCCCCCCCCCCCCCCCCCCCCCCCCCCCCCCCCCCCCCCCCCCCCCCCCCCCCCCCCCCCCCCCCCCCCCCCCCCCCACCCCCCCCCCCCCCCCCCCCCCCCCCCCCCCCCCCCCCCCCCCCCCCCCCACCCCCCCCCCCCCCCCCCCCCCCCCCCCCCCCCCCCTCCCCCCCCCCCCCCCCCCCCCCCCCCCCCCCCCCCCCCCCCCCCCCCCCCCCTGCAGAGTTAGGATTCAGTTCAAGAAGGTGTCTCTTAACTATCTCGGGATTGATTTCGACTTGCTCGAGAGGAGGGTAATGCTTTGCCAGACCGACAGTGGGTACTGACGGTTCCACGGAGTAGGTCGAGGTGTACTGCGAGGTTAGTAGTTGAGCCTTCTCGTCATCTCCGTAGAACAGTGTATCCTCCTCCTGGCAGGATAGAGCAGGGATACCACTGCCAGCCTTTGTGTTTCGTTTCAAGTACGAGAACAGCTTCTTTGGGCAGGGTCGAGATTACATGACTAGGCTATGTTCGTATTGTGAACGTTTCTGGCGCTTTCTGAGAGTGCACAGATTTCTGATCACTTTGTACTTCGAGTAATCTGACATTACTTGTGTTGACTTGAATATGCCCCACAGTTTGCATCATCTGTTCATCAAGGCTCTCACCTCTCGGTCGATACAGGGGGGCCTTTGAGAAAAGGCCTGTCATTGGTGATAGGAACAACTTTTTCGATGACCGACATCATCTTCGAGCGTAGCAAGTTCCATGCTTCATCAAGGCTCAGGGATTGTGGAATGGTCTAGTCTGTGATGCTTGCCACTTTTTGTAATCTGGATGGGACAACACGCCAGAAGTTGCGACGGCGTGTCCCTTGATTATATGTGGCAAGACAGCATGCCCAAAAGAAGGAGATTGTAGTGTGATCACTCCGGTCGAGTGGTTGTAGAATCTTCGGGTCATGGACATCAAAGAGCGCTGGTGTGAGGACGAGATCTAGTATGTTTGGTGTCTGACCCGGTAACATCCGTGTTGTCGCTGAGGTGTGCTGGAGCAGACTGCATTCGTGAATAACGTTGCGAAAGCCAGCCTCGAAGGAATCTTGGTAGGGATTACAGTGAAGGAGGTTCCAGTCGACACTGGGTGCATTGAAGTCGCCCATTAACAGTCAGTTCTTTCCTCTTCCCTTAGATTTTACAGACTGTACTAGACGGACGCCTGCGCTCATTGGAGCTCTGTAAGCCACGCCGACCGTGTGTAGCTGGTAGCCGTCACGAATTCGGCACCACTGTATCTCTAAGGCTCCGTCATTGTCGCAGAGAGCTTCGATAACGTGTACCTTGAGGCAGGACCTCGAGTAGAGCATTACTCCAGCCCCAGTCCACCCACTAGAACTATCTGCTCTTGAGATTTGATATTCTAATATGCTACTCTCAGCGACCTGGATCTCTGTTGATAACCAGGTCTCGGAGAAAGCCAGTAAATCTGACTGGTGCTCGCTAATGAGAAGAGGAATCACGTCGAGCTTGTTTTTAAGGCTGAGTACATCGGCAAATATCACTCGCAGACCGTTATTTAAACATGCGGGCTGGGTAGCAGAAACATTGACTTCCAGCGACTTCTCTGGGTTTGCTGAACAACGCGAAAATCCACAATGTAGAGATCAGTTTCGCCGTTCGTTCGGCGAGTTCGAAGTTCGTTGACGGCTTGTCTCATTCTGACTATCTTCGGGGAGAGGTTTTTCAGAACAAAGGTTTCTCCTTTAAGATGCGAGGTACGGCTGAGGATGCCGCGACATTCATCCTCATCCTGACAGACGACTTTTAGCGGGCGAGTCTTGAATGGATCATCCTGCTTTCTACCTAGACGGAAAGCAGTGACGATGTTAGTACCCTGCTCGCCTTCATCGAACAGGATGGATACCATCCGCTTTGAAAAAAGCCTGGTCGTCAAAGATCCTTTCAGCTGATAATTCTTTGTCGGATTCAAGAGCATTCGTAATTATTAAGCAACGGTCACGAGGTGCTTTGTTTCCTCTTGAGAGACTTGGCTTTTGTGGGCTGATTGTCCTTTAATGAGCCGCTCAAGTTGGATAAGTTTGTAAATGATGAGCTCCAGTTGTGTTGGGTTAAATTTTACTTTAGGCCTTGAAACGGCTTTTTTCGTCTGTCTTTTGACCGGAGTTCCGCAGTCAATGAACGATGATTTATAACGAATAAAAAGCAGGTGCTTGACATGCCCGTATGGTGTTTAGAGTGAGAAAAGATATATCAAGAGATAATAGAGTCGTCAGTTTGGGCGATTACAGATTTAACTGCACTGCCGTATAAAGGGAGTTGGCAGTGAGAATGTATGCACACAAAACAATAAGGGGAGTGATTATTGGTCACATAACAGGTGGGAAAACAATAAAAAACTTAGCAAGGACATGGCTTACTCGTGTACAACTATCTTGGGTCGACGGGATACAGAAATCCAGTTTCTATAGTAGTAGCGTTTATCAAATGGTGTGCAAGGGGTTTAGAGTGACTCATTCTGTCTGTTGTGCATTATTGCCAGCATCTGGTGGTCATGTGCTATAGCACATAGTATAAATGTGACAGAGTATCGTCAAGGCGCTTTTTGTAAAGGGATAGGGTGGGTGCATTAACTACATGTTCCTGGAGGGCGTTCCAAGGATGTGACACTCGAAGGGAGAAACTGTTTAGCCGACATTCAAGGCGGCTGTACTGCGTGACCAACGTAAACTGGTGACCTCTTAGCGAGGTGTTTTAACTGAGTATCAGAAGGGAATGGCATGGGGTTTTGGGGTTTCTCAGGATCTGGTACACCATTATGAGATCGCCCCTTAGACGCCGATAAGGTCCACTGTATATTTTGAGAGTCTTCAGCCTGAGTGGGTCTGGGAGACTGGTCAAATCTCTGAAACTCTTCCTTGCCATGCGTTGTGCAATATCGATTGCGGTGAGATGGTGCTTGAGCCAGGGTTGCCACGCTTGCATAGCGTATTCCGCGTGCGGCCTCACGTACGCACTAAGCATTTTTGGAAAGACTGAAGGGTCAGACTTCCGAAAGCTCTGAGAAGAAGGCCGAGGTACTGGTTTGCTTTCTTAGCTGCCTTTTCAGTCTGCCTCAAACAACCGAAGTTATCTTGAACTAGCACGCCGTGGTCGCTCTCGTGAGAAGCCCGCTGTAGAATTCGTGGTCCTAGACGGTACTTGTGCATACTCTTGTGCCGTATGCTGAGAACTTTGCACTTGGTGACGTTGAAATGCAGCATGTTCTGGATGGACCATGTGTACGCTTTGCCCACTTCCTCCTGTAACACTATGTGATCCTCCACTGCAGCTATAGTACGCCATACCTTTAGATCATCAGCAAATAGCAAACAGTTAGAAGATAGCACACTCGTGGGATCATTTATGCAAACCAGAAACAGTCGAGGTCCAAGTACCGCGCCTTGAGGTACGCCGCACTGAACTTCGATGGATTCCGACAGGTTGCTTCTAACCCTCACATTCAGGTGACGTTGCACGAGAAAGTCTCCTATCCAGCCCAGAACAGGATCGCCGATTTCATATTCCTGGAGTTTGTGGAGGAAAATGCGATGGTCTAGACGGTCGAATGCCTTTGAAAAATTCAAGTAGGCCACGTCGACTCCTACACCAGCGTTCACAGATTCCGTCCAGCTTGTGCAAGCAATCAACTGATTAGTGGTACATGAGCGATTTTTGGCGAAATCCGTGCTGCTCCGGAACGAGAATTTTGTTGTTCTCCAGGTACCCCATCAAAGCCTCAGCTACTATGGACTCCAAGACCTTGGAGATCACAAGAAGTAGTGTTATCGGGCGATAATTTGCTGGTTCAGCACGACTGCCACTTTTGTAGATAGGCGTGATGATTCCGTGGTTCCACATCGTGGGGACGTGCATCTCGTTCAGAAATCTTTGAAAGAAAATTGCTAGTGGCGCCGCCAAACTCATGGCAGCAACTTTCAACGCCTTCGGGCGAATGCCGTCCTCACCCGGGGAGCTGAACTCGCGCAGACGTCAGTCTCTTCAGTACAGCTGCGGAGGTGAACGATATGTGATTAAGCCCTGTTGGCGGCGTTATCTGCTTAGGCAGGATGTATGATGACTGCACGCTTTGGTAGGTACGGCCAAGTTGTTGTCCATTAAGGTTGGCCGCCTCTTGTGCGGTTTGGGCTAACCCGCATGCTGTGTGCAGAGCAGGAATACCGCGCTTAACACAGCGCAAATTGTTTACGTGTCTGTATAGCAGCTTTGGACTGGAGCTAAACTTTTCCACAAGACTTTGTTGGTTCTTAAGTTTATCCTCCTGGACGAGTTTGACACGGTGGTTCTTTGTATTGTGTAGACCTCCCAGGTATGGTCGTTCGGGGAGACTATGTAGGTGTGCCATGACAAGTCCCTTAATGCCATGCACTTACGTGTCCTGCTCCTTACGAAAAACTTCATCCTTTTAGGCCGGCAGAGTTTGGTTTCAGATTTGCTTGCCATGAGCTTGGTAAATATGTTGAGGTATTCTTCGCAGGCCACATAAGAGCTTAATTCGGCTAGGAAAGACCAGCTTGTTGCATCAATGAGGTCGGACAGGTCGTCATAGTTGGTTACATGATATTCCTCAGCAAACTCTTTAGGATAATTCGCGTAGCACATGTAATGCAACACTATCGTCGCATGCTCACTGCGGCCCAAAAGAGTATCGGTTATCACTCTCTCGACCATCGGTTCTTCATTGGTGAATATTCGGTCCACTATGGATGGCGTGTTAGTTCCCCTGAACCTGGTAGGCGTAGTGACGTGGCCGTAAAGCGAAGTCTGAAACCAGATCTTGCAAGTCTGCTTTGAATTGCTCTCCTGGTGTGGCCTGTGATACTAGAGAATGTAAGTTGAAGTCGCCGGTGACTAGAATGTGACTGTACTTCCTGTTTATCACTTGCGTCAACGCAGCCATCAAGTTGCAGTCCATCTCAGGAGTAGACGATGGTGGGCGGTAAACAACAACCAATAGGTCAAGATCGTTCCCACTCAGCCGGAAATTACACCAAATGGCGTCAGGTACGTCAGTTTCCGAATCGTTTATGGGTTCGCATTGCATGTTGTTAGAAAAGTAGAGGGCTACCCCACCACTTTTGCTGGCTCGATCCTTCCGGACAACGGACATGCCCGTTAGCGCGATTTCAGCATCCGTTACCTCACAGCGCAACCACGTTTCGGTGACAGCGTTGAGGTCCCAAGCTGCTGACGCGTGTCGAAGTCTTAATTCAGCTAATTTGCTGAGTAGACCTTGGGCATTTGTATGCATGCATGAGAGCTTCTCGGAGACCAGAAGTGTGTTAGATTGGATGGATGAAGCAAGTGAGTTTACGCCGACCTGTGAAGAGTCGGCAACTAATCGCTTTTGGATGGGTTGCAGACTCTCGAGACGAATTTGGCACGTAGTCAAATATCAGCTGCCCCGGATCCCGGTGTTTGCTCGTGCTCTGCTGTGTACCTCCGGATATTATTGCTACTGTTGAAACCGTCCACGAGTCGGGTCCTGCAGTTGGCGTTTTGATTAAGCGTTGTGCCTCTACTGAATTGTCATTAGAAGGTACTAATGTTCCCACTGCTTTTAGACGAATTTCTGTTGACAATCTGCAACGGAATTTAGTGCAGTTCTTTAGTAGGGGTTTCTCCGTTAGTTTTGATTGTAACACAAGTTTTAACAGCCTGGGACCGCACCCCTTATACTTTGGTGATATGGGAGTCGTTGTCAACAAGGTGGCCACGACATTTTCGAGAGAAAGAGCCTCCCGGATGTGGTGCCATTGCTCGCGGTCGTGCATCTGAGCATCGTCGGAAGAGGAATCAGTAAGCTCAGGAACACTGTGAGCAATCACTGTTTTCTTACCTTGACTTCTTCTGTACCTCTTTTTGTTAGCGGGATTCACTGAACGTTCTTTCCGCTGGATTTCAGGTAGTATGCGCACTCCACTTGAGTCGTTGCGGAGACGATTCGCAGACAGCAGAACGGCCTCTGTCTCGTCCGCCGAGTTTAGTGTTACCCGAAGTAACCGAGGTTCGCCTTAGTGCAACGCGTTTGGGTGGCTCGAATTTCTTCTTAATTTCGCGGGATTAGCATGGACACCGATCGATGTACATATGGAACCCCACTGATTTCGATCTTCCGTCAACCTACCCTTGATTGTATTTGATTTGGATTCGGGGACATTTGTGCACACAAGGTTTAAGGCACCATGGTTGCGCCTGCTGGCTACTGGTATTGGATTTGGAGGCTTAGTATCCGGTGTTTTTGGTGAATTTGTGAACGGCACTGATGGGTGCCATCCGTGCTGCAACACTTTGGTTTTCTCTAGTCCGGGCACAAATCTTACCGGGGCTCTTTCCGGTGTTGGCTTGGCGGCATCCGATGCGTACGTTGCCGGGTTGTTCACTATTGCTGGTTGACTGTAGCTTACGGCCTGATGTGTAGCGACCAGACTAGTAGGTGCAGCACACAGTACAGAAGTTGAGGCAGGCGCGCTGCAGACAATGTTTTTACTTATAGGAGGGAGAGAGAATGGAGTTGATACTGCTTCTTCGGCCTGACTAGGGAATTCGGGGTGTTATTTTCACTCACAAGTGCAAGTCCGTTTCCTCCCATGGATGTAACTCCGGCGCTCACCAGTTGCACGACCGCTCCTGTTAATCTTTCACACCTCTTCAGTAGCACAGCTAGACAGCTAACAAATGGTATAGACTTGCATACTTAGAAGAACCAAAACGCCTCTGCCATGTTTGTTTTTGTCGACCCCGTCCCAAGACAGGTAGTGTGGTAGAATTTCAAACACATGGTACACACCAGACCATTTTTTACCACTTTAGCACATGATTCGCATTTGCTCTTCATATAAAACATGTTCACGGTAGGCGTGCTGTTTTAAAGGGTAGGAAGAGAACTGAGATACTGACGCACCGTCAGTCGGAGCTAGCGCAGGAGCAGTAGGTACGCTGAGGGAGCGTAAGCTCATCAGAAGTATTTTGTCGCTAACCACTGCTAGACAAGGGTCCCAGTGAAAGTCTATGCCCTTGGAGACAGTGTGCTGAAGACAGTGCTAGATATGTTGACCAATGTTACAGCCAATTATGTGCATCCATTTGTCGCAGAGTATGCATTGGACGGCCTTGAACGTGCGTTGACATTCTTCCCGCAGTCCACGCGCTTGTATGTCATATCTTTCCAAAGCAAACTTTAACTCTAGTCAAATTTCGTTAACAGTGTCTATTCAAACACTTCTTCACGAGAATTTCATCTAAAAGACTAGAAAGTATAGCACGCCAGAAAGAGGAGTTACCACGTAGTACTCACAGGAGCACAACAGTTCACAAACAGTTTGACTGGGTACGATGCCATTTTCACTTGAACTACGCATAAGAAAGCGCCTAAGTATTTGTGTTTTACTACTGTATTCATTACGTTGCTTACGTTAGTTTTCTGGCGCTAGGTTATAAAACTTTTACAGTTGTGTCGGCTTGTGCTTGCTACCGCCCCGACACACGTGAGTGTTTATCAATAGGTGGGCAATTATTCCTGGCAGAAGTGGATCAGTTAACTGGGTTTCTGCCGTAGTAGTCTGGAGATTTCTCGTTTTGCCTGTATAAAACCCTAACTAAACTTATTTCATTGTACACCTAGGCGATCGGTGTGATTTGTTGAGCTGATTGCTGAGTTCGAATGCGCAAACTGACTACGACAAGGCTCGTATACTTAGTGATCAGTATACTGGGGTCTTCGCTCGAAAGACTAGCACAGGTTGAAGTGGTTTCATGAGTTCCAGAATATGTTTGCTTAGCTGAGTTCAAGATAACGGAGACTCAGGTCTACGAGCTACTGCAATGCATTAATCCCTCTAAAGCTTCCCCTCCTGATTCAGTTCATCTGAAGCTGTCGCATGAACTGGCCACTGAGCTGAGTGCTCCTCTCACATGCGTGTTCTCAACATCGCTTGACAGCTGTATCCAAAATCAGAATGGAAGGAGACAATCATCTGTCCGATTTTTAAGGGCGGTGACAGCGCTCTGCCCGCCAACTACCGGCCTGTCAGTTTGACCAGTGTAGTAGTCAAGTTGTTTGCAAAGCTGATAAGGGATTCAATGAAGAACCACCTGAATAGATACAACCTTCTCAGTGTTGCGCAACAGGGATTCCGCAAAGGATTTTCAGGTCAGACTAATCTACTTGTAGCTCGTGAAAGCTGGGCCGAAGCGGTAGACAGTGGCCACGCTGTAGACGTGCTATTCGTGGGCTTTTCGAAAGCTTTTGACACTTCCACATCTTCGGCTCTCACTAAAGTTTAGCTCTTACGGTATATCTGGTCGCGTCCTTAAATGGCTATCTGCCTTCTTTGAGGGGAGGGAACATTGCGTACGGGTGGGGCGTAGCCTTTCGCTCAGGCAAGCTGTCCTTAGTGGCGTCCCGCAGGGCTCGGTATTGGGTCCATTGTTGTTCGCGATCTATGAAAATGAGTTGCCGGGAGAGCTAGGAGTGTCATCACTAATGTTTGCCGATGATCTTAAGCTCTGGAATATTGTGGATATCCCGGGGGGTTCCTGAGGCAATTCAGCGTGCCTTGGATAGACTCTGGAAATGGTTTACCTTATGGTTGATGCCCATAAATAGGGGCAAGTGTTCTGTTCTCCGAATCAGAGCTGCAAATCCTCCCACCCGATATGTTGTCGGCGGTGGTGGACTCCCTGTTGTCACTCAGCAGGTTGATTTAAGGGGCGTACACGCATCAGCACTTCATTCTGGCGACAATTGGAAGAAGGCTCCTTGCCGGTGGTTCGTATGATGTGGTTTATCCGCCGCTCTTTCGGAATCCTAACGGCCAATTTGTTTTTGAAGCTATTTTCGGCATTCGTCCGACCCCACCTGGAGTATTGTATCCAAACTTGTCCACCATGTCTTAACCGAGACAAAGTGGACTTGGAGAGGGTGTTACGAGTGGGTACTCAGAACAGGGTCTACGGGGACAGACGTATCCTGAACGCACTACCGATGGATAAGACGGGACATGATTCTCACTTATCGTCTTCTGACGGGTAAGATCGGCCCGGACTTGTCAACACTATTTAGTCCCGCTACGTTACCTAATCTCCGTGTTCATCCACTGAAACTGCCAAAACCACGGTCTGATAGGATTAGGACGGAGACTCGTCTGTTGCGTAGAGTTATAGATGGCTGGAATTCGCTTCCAGATCAGGTGGTCAGGGAACCTACGGTTAAGCGTTTTGCGCGCCGGCTCGATGCGCTAGGGTGGAAACACCAAATCTTTACTTTTTCCTAGCTGACTGACCTTCAATTTTAAATTCGTTTTTAACGTCTCAAATACCTTGGTATTCTAATTGCTTAGCTCTTTCCACTTTTTCTTTCTGCTTTCTAACTTTACCTTTTACTCTTTGTTACTTCACGTAACCAGTCCAGCACGGACTGCTAGGGCAGGATACGTGGGCATTAATTGGTTGGGCAGGGTGTGCAGCAGTTGTTTTAAGTCCACCTGTATTTCAAAGTCTGCCAAATTCTGATTCAACGATCCGCTGAAAAAGGAACACTCACGGGATAATCCTATCGTTCCAGTCCTGCTTGAACTTGTATTTGCTCATCGCCATTTTGCCTAGCCCTCGTTTCGGTTGCAACGCGCGACTGCCATGTGTGCTGTGCATCCTCCGTTCCCCTAGCTAGAGCGTCAATGGTGTCGCTTTTTATAGCTAGTTAACAGGAAATCATTTACTGTACCACTAACAGTTTCCCTGCAACCCGATCTGCATTTTCGAATCATTTCTCGGGCTCCCGCTACAGGCTACTTGCTAAATTGGTGACCCCGACTCCGGAAAAAATTTAAAGCCATATATACCGAACTTTTCTCCAGTGAGCTCGTTCCATTTGTATACGGTAGCCTACTTTTTGTGTAAATTTTTTCAAACCACGGTATCTGTAAACCCTAAGGTAGAGTCTCTCCTCAGCGTTGTATCTCTCTCTGTCGCGCCTTTCTGTGGTTCACTCATCTTGAGGCTGTTTTATAACCACAGAATCACTTCTGACAACGCGAAATACACCAAGCTAATGTCCTATCTCCCCAAGGAGATATCAATGCAGATTCGAGACGTTATCATTTCTCAGACTGAAAACCGCTATGAGGCTCCAAAGGAGGCCACGATTAAGCATGCCATGCACTCTGAGAATGTTCGCCTGCGCACTTCAGGGATCTGCAGCTGGGCGAGCAACTGCTCTCAACCCTGCTACGAGGGATGCAGCAACTCCTTGGTTCCTCAACCATGGTCGCGAACTATAGCTACAGCGGCTACCGGAAAATGCGCAAGGGATTCTTGCTAACGTGAGCTCCGTTTCTCTCACTCAACGAACAGATTTAGCGGATCGAGTCATTGAACGATCACAGCCACAAGCCGATGCCAACAAGGTCAATGCCATCCCGTCACAGGACACTTCTATCACTGACTTACAGTCAACTATAGAAGCCCTGCAGACACAAGTTGCGACACTTAGTCGCCAGGGTCAGCAAATTACTATGAACCGTTGTCGTCATAGCCGATCAAAATCGCCCTTCAAACGTTCCAAGTACAGCAACAGACAGACTTGTTGTTGGTACCATCAACGCTTTGTTACCGCAGCTCGTAAATGTATCAAGCCTTGCAACTTCGCCGAAAAGCGGGAAAACTTCTCGGCGACGGACGCGACCGGCCAACACCAAAGTCGCCTCATCCGCGTTAGGGATTTAATTTCCGGCACCGAGTTTCTAATCGACACTAGAGCAGTAGTTAGCGTTATATCCCGTAGCCCAGATGAGGTCGTCACACGCTCGCCGGCCAAGCTGCGTGCCGCCAATGGCACACCAATCGTAACTTTCGGCGAAAGGCTACTAACGCCCAATTTAGGCCTCCGGCGAACCTTTCGTTGGCCTTTCATAGTCGCAGCCGTGCCTTTCGCCATCCTAGGCACAAACTTCCTTCAACGCCTAGACCTTATCGTCGAGGCTAAAAGGAAGAAGCTTACCGACTCTAGGACACAACTCAACATTATAGGGACTAGTGCCAACGTGGATGCAATCACTCCCATTCGTGTCCCACCTCAAGCTTCGCAGACTTTTATAAAACTTTTCAACAAGCATCCTAAACTCGTTCGCATCCTGAGCGACTTGCCTCCTGTGACGTCAAACGTCATGCATCACATTAGCACTAAGGGTCCACCTGTTTCGGGCTGCCCTCGCAGACTAGCCCCGGACAAGCCCAAAGCTACTTAGGCGGAATTCGAGCAAATGCTCGAACTGGGAATAATCCGCCCGTCCAAAAGTCCATGGGCATCACCATTACACATGGTGCCGAAGAAATCCGGTGACTGGCGCCCCTGTGGTGACTACAGGGCACTTAACAAAGTTACCGTCCGCGATAAATACTCAATTCCGCACATGCACGACTTAACCTCAGCTCTAGCTCGTAAGTATATCTTTAGCAAAGTCGACCATGGTCGCACCTACCATCAGATACCTGTAGCGCCAGACGACATTGCTAAAACAGCAGTCATCACGTCATTCGGCCTATTCGAGTACCTCAGAATGCCTTTCGCCATCAGCAACGCTGCTCAAATTTTTCAACGTTTCATTCATGAGGTAACGCGAAGACTCGAAGGCGTTTATCCTTGTCTAGATGATATTCTCATCGCCAGCTCTTCTGATGATGAACATCTTTATCACCTCGACGCTCTCTTCCAACGCTTGACGCAACATGGGGTTACCGTCAACCCCGATAAATGCGAGGTTGGCCAAAGCTCCATCGACTTTCTGGGGTCACCGAATTTCCGCCTCTGGTATTGAAGCTTTGCCAGACAAAATGCGGGCACTGAAGGACTATCCTGCTCCTAATTTCTTCAAACAGTTACGCCGATTCCTCGGCCTTGTCAACTATTACCGACGCTTTATTCCTAACTGCGCAAACGTTGTTCAACCGACGAGTGACTTGCTCCGCGGCAACCAACGCTATTTTCATTTTCTAGACGACGCTAGACTGTCTTTTGAGAAGCTCAAAGACGCTATCTCAAATTTGGCGCTTCTCGCCCAACCAGACATATCTGCATCACTCTCCCTAACAACCGACGCATCCGACACTGCCGTCGGTGCAGTTCTTCAACAACTCATCGACCATCGATGGATACCTCTAGGTTTCTTCTCGAAATTTTTAGAACCTGCCGAATCGCGTTACAGCACCTTCGGTAGGGAGCTGTTAGCTATCTACCTAGGTATCAGACATTTCCGTCACTATCTCGAAGGTCGACATTTTACCGTCTTCACTGACCACAAGCCATTGATCTACGCAATCAATGGCGCAACGGACATTCTCCGCGGGAAATGAGTTACCTAGA